TCTCTTTAGAGCCTCCAAAAGGAACCAGCCCTGCCCACCCATTTTAGATCTATATTCTCCAGAACCATAAGATGATAAATTTGTGTTGTTTTAAGCCTAAATTTGTAGCTCAAACCCACAAATTAACAGGAAATTAATACCCTAGTGCTGTCAATAAATTTTGCCCTGAAAAGCAGCTGTGGATGAGATCCTAGGGTATCCGGCCAAGTTTGAACTAGGAACTGCATCTGTTCATGAGAAGGGCCAAGTGTAATGAAAGACTGCCCTAGGGTTCATGGACACAGGATGCCAATCAGGGGCCCCTTAGGGTTGAGAGGGAAGGAAGCCAGGAATAGTGCTACCCCAGCAGGTCAAATCACTGTAGCTGGTGTATATTAAGTTAAGGAGACCTGGGCCCCTGGAATGCTCTTTACTGCTTCTACTGAAATTAGGGGACCAGAAATCCAGGAGAAACATAAGATTTTATTTCACTTATATTTAGTTATTTCCTTTTTTGCTTTTCTTCAGTTTTCCTTTTAGCCTTTAGTTCTTTTAAAAATACAAACCCAGTCCAGCTATGCTAAGGGTATGCAAGTTAAAGTGCTTCTAGATATAAAAGAAAATAACTATAAATCTGAAGATCGGGTAAGGTTTTAGCCTGCTAATGAAGAATGTACTAGAAAGGAGAAAAAATTGTAAAGGTCAACATAAGGACAACTGCAAAAATTTTGACAAGAAGTAATAATTGGACAAGTGTGTAACATGTAAATTAGGGATAATAATAAACCTTTGAAGACTGTTGTACAATAAAATGACTACAAAAAATCCCAGACTTCACAATGTGTGACTGTGTGTGACGGTTTCGGGCTGCCCACAGGCTCCTCTGTACAAGGTGGTGCCTCAGTGGAAATGTTTAAACCACTTCTTTGGTCTGAAATTAGGTCTGTCACAAGGTCTAATCCTTCAAGGACTGCTTCAATTTTATGTCCACAATTCTACCTACAAACCATTCGACACCATCCAAACCGATGAAGAGTACAAACTCCGGCAGACTCACTGAAATCAGTATCACAGGTCCACCACTCAGTCTGTGCCGCCCAGGAAATACTTAAATGTGTCACACTGGCCAACCTCTCTTTGCCTCAACTTCCTCATCTGAGAATGGGTATAATAATAGTACCTACTTCACAGGTAAAGAGTAAAGAGTAAAATGAAACAATACATGTAAAGTTAAGGTGCTCAATAATAAAGACAATATTAATAATAATAATGTGACCCCATGAAATTCAACTCTTCCATAAAGCATTCTTTGACTCCCGCAGCCTTTTCTGATGACTTACTGTAACAACGACAGGGGTTTCTCCTTCTTCTGAACTTCTACAGTACCTTTTATCTCCCACAACCTCCACATTGTCATCTATCATAGCAGCACTAGTCAGACTGCATGGAAACTATTTACTTTTCTGTCTCCCTGACGAGACTAAAAACTACTATAATCCTGCAATTCCATTGCCTAATATAGTGCCTAGCAAAATCAATCCACATATACACGCTTAAATTCTCTTGGTATCTTCCCTTTTTTCTTTGTTTACTGCCTCTCTCCTCACACAGGAAAACAAGCTCCTTGTAGACAGAGACCTTATCTGTGCCACTCACCTGCACATCCCCAGAGCCTAGCACGGGGCCTGCCACATATGAATGATTCAATGACTGAGAGTCAGCAGGGAAGAAAAACCAAGAGCCTGCAATAAACCTAAAGAGAAGGAAGACTGCTAGGAGAATATTTCCCACTGTAACCCTTTCCACAAAATCACAGAAGCTAGAGCTGAAGGAACCTCATGGTTTTCCTTTCCACTTTTTGGGTTCAAGTATAATGTCAAGCACCACTACTCTCTGTTTTATCATATAAGCTGGCAAGGCAAAAAACGGTCGTGATATAAAAAATGTAACATAGTGAAGAGTTTGCTTTTTATTCTATGTATACTTAGTGTATTAGCTTTAAATCATTAATATTAATTTGCATGGTAATTTGCATAGTAATTAATCTGCATAGTACTTGTTAACCTAGAATTCCACATCTTTATTCAAGCATTAAACTGTGCTCAAAAGATAACACATAGCAAGCACTTACCACAGGGTCTGGCACATGGCATGCAAAAGTGTCCATTTTATTATTCTTCTCATTAGCAACTCAGGCCTCCTTTTTCTACTCAAAGGCTTTCCAGCAGGCTCTCACCCATTCTTTCTCCAAGAACAATTCATGGCTTATACAGAAATATCTACCAGATAACCCTCACCTCATCCAACCTCTAATTACTATAATGGCAACAAAAGAAAAGGAAAGGAAGTCTTTTCCTTTTCTTCTTCTTGTCACTATGTAGATTTTATACCAAAAAAAAGAGAGAGTGAGAAAGAGGCCACAGACCTGCAAAAATGGATAACTGCCAAGGAAAAACCTAGCAGGACTAAGGCGGAGCCAGGGAATTAGGAGATTCTGCTGCAGGGACCCCACTCTAGGAAACACTGCACAAAAAGGGGTGTGTCTAGAAATAGGTTAGGGGGTCCCATGAGTAAGGGAATCCCAAATCAACCCGGCGAATGTAGTGGGGATGGAGTTTCTAGCAAGATCTCCAACGTCAGTACAGTTCTGGATTCGATTCTCTGAATTTGAAATCAACAGATGGCTTGAATTGCAAGCGTTTTTTAAAACAGAAGTGTTATACAAGCATACGCGTTATAAAAGTGTGAAAAAACATCTGTAATTTCCAACATATATATCTAAAGTGATACATTCTAAAATTTCTTTAGAATAGAGAACATGAAAACTTTAAAGTAAGGTCCTTAATTTAACTGCTGAAATACTCTCTCTTCTCAGACCCCTTAATTTACGGCCAGACTTAGGCCTGCTACAAGGTAACTTGAAAAACACTTAAGACTGGAGAAACTATATGCAAGCAAACAGGTCAGGGAGGCTTCTGCCCCACCATTCAGCTAAAATCTGCTACTCAGCTTCATCCTCAGCCTTTGGAAGGCAAACGAGCTGAAGGCTACTTCAAGGTCATTTCTGGCATCAATGAACCTGTCCATGATCAATGACCTGATGACTGAGTATCTTGTGATCATAACCAAACTATGTCACTAATAATATGTCACTTGGATTTATTGCAAACATCTGCATATTGACTTGAACTATATAAATAAGCATTCTAGATGAGATCTGGATGAAAATCTCTGTGTGTTTTACATGTTCAAGTCACACAAGCCAGGAAGATAAGGGTCTACTTCGTACTGAAACAGTAAAATGCAATAATATATGATTTGGGAAGCTCTTAAAACAATAAAAATGTCCAAATAAGTATATGGGGGTAAAAAGTAGGAATTAATAAAAATATCAAAAGAAAGTACATTGGCCAGCTGTTTCTAAAAACCTAACTAAAAATATAAGGCAAAAAATAGGGATTATGTAATAATTTTATTATTTGTACAACTTTTTAGTATATTACTATTAATATAACATTAAACAAGACAATGTTTAAGAACTGTGTTTAATTTTTAAGTAACTACATTTAGGCCTGAGACCTTCAAGAAAAATCCATTTGGGAATTTTCATATCTTGTGAAAAAGAATTAAAAGCAAGATCTCAACTTCTGCTTTGAAAGTATGTTGATTTTAACATGTATCCATTGGGCAAAAACATCTATTCAGTACACCTCGAATTCAGATAAAGTGTTTACTCCTGGTTTTCACCTTTGAGCATTCTTCCAAACTCCCATTTGAAAAAGTGAATATGGGGTTTCTTTTTTCCAGGGACAAGGAAGCCTCCGAAGCACCTCTCCACCCATCCCCACCTGCTCCTTAGGTAAGGGGTGAGGGGAGATTTATTCTCAGATGAAAGGGATCCTGGTGCATCCTGTGAACCTCGGGTTAACATGCCTCACTTCAACAAGCCTGCTCTTGCCCAAACCTCCATTTCTCAAAATATCGGGGGGGCAGGGGTGGGGGGCGGTGCTGGGAAGCAGGCAGGAATAGATCTGGAAAGAATATGAGCTTTAGACTCACAAGCCATGGGTTTAAAGCCTAACTCACTAACTCAGCAGCAAATTTACCTTGGAGTATTTTTGTTGTTTCATTTCTTACATGAGGATTAATGCTGTTCTCAGATGAGTGTTGTGCCCGTGAAGTTACTAATGTAGGTGAAGTACCAAGCAGGGGTCCTGGCACACAGTCATCTGCTAAGTAAACGGTGGCTCTCATTACCCTGAGCACTTCACCTCTGCCTTTGTGGTTCCAGATTTTACATATCCTGCGAAACGGCTATAACACAAAATCCAAAGGTTTGGAATTTTCCAGTAATCTCTCCTCCTAGGCCTCTGCTTTCAACATGCAGCATTTCCAGGCTGTTCCCCTACGTACAGTGCAATGTGCTTGCCCTACTCACTTTTCCCTAAATTTCTGGAAGGAGATCCATTCAGAGAAAAAAGATCAGAGATTTAAAGACTCTCCAGTTGGCACCTCCCAGAATCCAAGGAGGGAAAGAACCCCCGAGCGTCTGAATGAGATCCTAAGGCCAGGGGTGCCCTGCGCTCTGGGCGGCTCCGCATCCCCACAAGGCAGGCGAGGCGCTGCTGGCCGCACGCGCTGATGCCAAAGGAAGAAGGGCGGCGGCGGCGTGCGGGCGCGCCCGGGAAGACACCCGCCCACGCGCGCCTCCCTCCGCCCCCGCGGAGACGGCGGCAGTGCCCCGAGGAGGAGGGAGGCCCGGCGCGCGCTCACTTCCTGCAGCCCAGAGGAAAGACATCTTGCTGCAGGGCGGCCGCCGGCAGTTCCGCCCCGGGACCGGCCGGCAGCGGAGCGCGCCCCGCAGACACTTACGTGGCGCTGCCCGCTCGGGAGCGCGGCGGGCAGAGGCCGTCCCCGCTGCCCCCGGCCTCCCCGCGGAGCCCGGCCCTGCGGAGGGGCGGCCCCGGGAGGCGAGGGCGCGGCGGCAGGAGCAGGGGCGCGCAGGCCTGCGGGGCACCCACCTTTGTCACTCTGCGGGCCGTGTAGAGCCCCATGCCGTCCTGCACCCGCGAGGACTTCAGGGAGAACCTGTCCGGCACGTACATGCCCAGCATTCTCCCGGCGCGGCGGCCGCCGCCTCGCTCAGCACCAGCGCGCTGCGCCCGGGAGGCGACAGATCGACATTTGGGGTGCCGGGTGGAGGGGCGAGTCCGGCGGGGAAGGAGGAAATGGAGTTTTCCTCCCAGAATCCCCACCTCCCCGCCGATTCCAGGATCCCCCGCGCCCGGGAGGCGACAGATCGACATTTGGGGTGC